TTTATCAAAAAATAAAAATAAAATTACAAAATTATTGCCTCTGTTATAAAACCTCACCAAGAAAACCCAATGGGACAAAAACTTGGTAAAGAAAAAAGAATGCAATAATTGACAATTAATTTACAAGTTACATATTACAAAACAATTAATTTGAGGGTTGACTAGGACCTCTCTCATCGTATCATCTATATTACAAAATTAAAATATTCTATTAAAGTATCATCGACAACCTCGTATTGATCTTGATGGCGTGACTGTTCCCAATCTCGAGATATGTGAGGACTCTCAATCATTTTTTTGGAAAGTTTGTCATCCTTTCATTTAAAATTCTTCCACTTGTACTAAATGTTTGTTCGGATGAGACGGTTGAGACGAAACAACGAAAACATCCAAGGCAAGCAGGTTGTGCAAAACCGGGTACCGGCTCTGATTTTGGCCAAAAATCTCCAAAAATATACCCGCTAACCGAACCGGGTTTTAGACTACTGGTTTTGCGGGTATCTGAAAATTTGGGTTACAAACCGAGTATCCGATTTTGGTACCCGAATTTTTAAATTGTTTGGTTACAAATTTTTAAAAAGATTTCAAATATTAATTACCAAAAAGAAAAAGGTTTTAACATGTAAGAATAGATTGAAATTTTAACAATTTAATTAAGCTCCAAAAGAGCTAATGAGAGAAGCTCAAAAAGCCGTAAAAATATTTTTGTTAGTTTTTCAATGGTTAGTTTTTGGTTTTTTTTTTCTTTTTTTTGTTGTTATTTTTTTGGGTTTTTTTTTTTTTTGTTGGTGTTATATGTGGTTGTTACAACCCGGCAGTGAGGGCTGCCGATGGCCTAACAAGAATTTTACGGTTTGTCCTCAATAATGTATTTCTAATTATTAATTGTATCCACACATAAGTTTTTTAGGGCTAACAAAAGTAATTCCTCTTCGAAATACTATTACACCAAAGTACGAAGAGGGGAAGAAAGTTTTAAATGTCCAACAAAGTTGAATTAGTAACAAATGAAGCCCAAAAGAGTAATAGGAGAAGCGTTGAAGGCCGAGAAGATGTTATTTAAAAATCCTACAAGCCTTTTAAAATACACGAAATAATTCAATAGTGTTTATGACTTTAAATAAGCTTTCTTACTAATAAAAACTCTTAGATAAGTTGTTTCATTGTCAACAACTCAAATGGATAATTTCGGCTTCAAATATGTAATTAATTTATGAGAAAAATACTATTTACTGGACTTCAAATATGTAATTAATGTTGCAGGTCGGCTGGGGTGGCTCATGGTGGTAGTCAGTGACAGATCTGACAAGAAATGTAGCTAGATGAGATTGAATGAATGAAATTAAAGTGAAAAAATATTAAAGAAATGAAAAATAAAAGAGAAAAAATGCAGATTTTACCTGGTTAGAAACTTGTAGGTCGACAGCAACTTCAAGTAGGAGACTCTAGGTGGCGGCAACAGTCAGTGACCGGATAGTGAAAGAACGGCTCTATGGTAGTCTGGTGGGAAGCAAAGCTGCGTTTCTTTGCGTATTAGGAAATTTGGGGTTTATGTTTTTTTAAACTGTGTCTGCAGGACTAGAGTACTGGAAGAGAGAAGTGAAGAGCGAAAAACTGACGAGGTGGAAGATTGAGACAGTGAGACTGGAAGTTACGTAGTGAAGACTGGAGAGTGAAGCCTGACGGGTTTTAGTTTTAGGGCATCTGAAATTTTCATATTTGGGATTTTTTTGGGTTTAGACTTTAGTCTGAACTCTGACGTCTTTTTTTTTTTTAAATAAAAAACGGGTACCGGTTTTCTAAAATAAAAACCGATACCCAAACTGAAAATTGGGTATCTATAATAACGAAACGACCTGAATTTTGGGTACCGAAAATTCGGGTTCGATTCGGTTCGATTACCGAGTTCGTTTGGTTACCGGTTTTTTGCACAGCCCTTTTAAACTGTGTCCTGCAGGACTTGAGTACTGGAGAGATGAAGAGCGAACTGACGAAGAGTGGAAGATTCAGACAGTGAGACTGGAAGTTTACGCAGTGGAGACTGGAGAGTGAGAGCGGCTGAGGTGTTTAGTTTTAGGGCATCTGAAAATTTCAGATTGGGGATTTTTTTTGGGTTTAGACTTTAGTCTGAACTTTGACGTCTTTTTTTTTTTTTTTTTTTACAAGATAAACCAGGTACGGGTACTCGGTTTTCTAAAATTAAATAACGATACCCGAACACAAAAATATCGGGTATCTTATAAAAACAACCGAAGCCGACCCGAAATTTGGGTTCGGTTAGTTCGATTACCGTGTTCGGTTTGGTTACGGTTTTTTTGCACAGCCCTAAAGGCAAGTCTTGATAATATCGGGAAAAATACTTTTCTGGTTTCCAATATTCTAAGACATCAAAGTTAGCTCTTATTGTGGATCTATTGGTAACATTTTGGGGGTTCCCAAAATTGTTGAAGCTCGTTACTCTGTGACTGTATGGAGGACAGTATATTCGTTGTTGGTGCTTTTGAAGAGGAGGCTGTGCTTCGGGTTCGGGTCCTTTGGCTTATTAAATACACTCCAAAAGTAGAATCCATTTGTTTCGTGAGCAACTCTAGGTATTTCGCATCTTTGCGTGTTTCCATACTGTTTCATATTGGAGAATATACCCTACAAGAACAATCTTACCTCTCCTAGTTGATTAGCATATGCTTCGTTTGTAATTTTCAGTTAATGTGTCTAAACATTTTCTAAACTGCTACTTTAATTCTATGATCAAATTTAGCACATAAACAATAAAAAAATGATAGAGTTTCAATATTTGAAAAAAAAAAATTCCATTGCCTTTATTGGGTCCCTTAAAATTTCACTGGTTTGTTTTTTCTAAATAACTCTGAAATTTTTATATGTATGTATTACCAATTGACTAGTAGGATAATACACAAAAAAGTTGTACGTGGATTGGTAAAAAATTTTAAGAAAACAATGAAATATTTTAGCTATATGCCAATCATTTTCTACCAAATAATGAGGACCTCTATTATTTGGTATAAATAACTAATATAAATTGCATAAGGTAAGCATGAATCAAGTATTATAAAGTAATATTCTATCTAACAGGCATGTCTAATGCAAACGTCTAGGAGACATATTTGAATTTATATAAGCATCTTGAAATTAACATTTCTTTTATTCTACTAGTAATCCAAGCTAAAAAATCCCTAATTCTATCAATATTATCTTTAATGTGTTTTCATACCGCTTTTCACAATTAAATTAATATGTGACATGCACAACGTTGGTGAAAAATTTCAAATTGTTATAAAAAATGATAATATTTAAAAAAATTATAGTTGTACTATTAGCACTTGCATTATCTAAAGTTAAACTTATCACTTATACTAATTCATAATCTTCTAACACTTCAACAATATTATTATAAATTTGGTACCCCACTAGATCCACAAGCTCCTATGAATCTCAATCTTAATAAAAGATTTATTTAATTTACATTCGTTATCAAAATAATGACTAGTCATACAAATATAATCTTGTTTAGCTCTACCACTCTAAATATCGGTAGTTAGAGCCACACTAACATGACAACTATGTATTTTATTTGTTAATTCTAATTTCACTTTCCCAAACAATTTTATTAAATCATTTCTAGTTTCTGTTTTAGAATAACTTTTAAATCCTTGAAAAAATAATTTTTAATAAATCTTTCAAAATGTTTATCTTTAGCCATATTAATAGGTTGGTCAATTGCAGCAATATATAAAGCTAATTGTTCCCTATATATATTCGAATTATAACGCCAAGTAGTACCCATATTAGTTATTTGAGTTTGATTGGTTTCTTTATTTCCATGTTGAGCAATATGTTTATTAGCATGCCTTTTTAAAGTACTAGTACCATTACTTGAATCAGCTTTATAAATATTTCCACAATACTTGCATCTTGCTTTCTTCACTTGAACTCTATTTTCTGTCTCGTAAAACTTATCGAAATGCACCCAAACGTCTGATGTGTGTCTGTCGTCAGTTTCGACAGCAGTTGATGAACCCGCTTTTGCTTGAGATGAAGTTGGACGAGGACGATGATTACGAGGACGACGTCTAGAACCGCTGGGAGCTGTAGCAGCATGGGGAGAAATCGGGGGCATATTTTGAGGTGTATCGGATTCTGAGACTGGGAAAGCGGGACTATTTAAATCTACTACATTTATGTTAGTAAATTCAGCAGGACTAGGATAGTAGTTTCCTTCATCATCGAAATTGATGGGAGAGAAATATCTATCCATTGTAGTTAAAAAAAAAAAAAAATTGATATAGAAGAAATAAAAAATAAAGAAGGAGAATTGGAATATGGAAATATGAATTGAAAATTGCAAAAACTAATAAAAATTAACATGAGAGCAAATTGACAACAAAGAGAATAATTAAGAGATTTCAATAGAGATTAGAGAAAATGAGAGAATGAGAGAATTTGGGATGTGAGAAAATATGAGAGTTTAGGGCCAATTTATAGAAAAAAATGATGAAAAAGACCACTCTAAATGCTATAAAACAGCTATATTTCAAGGGTTAAAGGGGTATTTGAAAAAAAAATTAATTTTTTTTTTTGCCAACCCGCGGGTCAACCCAAATGGTTGAAGGGTTCTTCCAAAAAAAAAAAAAAACAAAACAGAAACCCGTCGGGTCGCTGGGTTGCCATATATCAACCCGGCCTGCCCGGGGGTTGCATGCTGGTTGGGTTCAACCCGGCCAGCCTGCTAGGCAGACCGGGTTGAACCCTCTTTAATGCGGGCTGGGTTAGGGTTGACTCGCCTAACCCGGCCCATTTGTTCCACCTTTAGTCAGCAAAGTATGGCCAACATCGAAAGGAACCCCGTTGCTTACACCTTCCATTGTGGAATTCCAACCACAATGGATGAAGAAGCAGACAATTGAAGGGTGACTAAGAATCTTTTGTTGTGGCGCCCAACCCACCATTTGGCCACGATTGGCTACCCTGTCTTGAAACCCTTATGGGAAGGCTTCATTGGCACCATTAGTAATGTCTGGCCTCACAACCCATAAGAACGGTCTGTTGGTGAGTTCAAGTCCTAGTGCTAGCTCTTGGAATTGGATCTTTTCTATAATTGTGAAGCTGCCAAATGCAACATAAATGACTGAGTTAGGTTGCTGTTGTTCTAGCCATTTCAAGCAAGTTGAGTCTTCTTGCCAGAAGTATCCTGTTGAATTTCCTTGTCGGTTGCTCACCAAAAGAGGTCCTATTGGAAGAATATTTGGAACCAAGGTGAAGGCTACAGGTTCAAAGTCATGAATTGAGTTGCAAATGAGGCAGTCTGCCATTTTCACAGCTTCTGTGTTGTTATATATAAAATCAAAGATCGTCTTTTGGGCTGAACGTCGATCAATGTTTGCCCATATAAGGTTTTTACTATCAATTTCAGGCGTGTTGGGCACCAAATGAATCATTTGTTTCTTTATTGGGGTTCCTGTAATTAACAAATACACAAGTGTTGATCATAAAAGAAATAAATACTGATAAATGTGCATAATGATGTGACTTTAACTTACAACAAATTAACTGTTTGACACACAGATGAATGAAAACTAGTGTGTTACCATCGCCGTCAATGATTCCATCGTCAATCAGCTTTTGAATTTTGTAAAACAAGGCAAGAGTGGTAGCTGCTGCAAGCCAAAACGCAGCTTCCCAGGCATCAACTTTGAAATTGCTTCACATAACCTCCTTATATCATTTCTATCCTCCCAGGGTTCCATTCAATCTGGAATTGATACCAGATGGAATCTGTTATGCCTGAAAAATATAGAGCTGACGTAAGGCCCAGTCAGCGTGTAAAAGTCAGAACATGGGTACACCCATAGCCTGCTTCTGTCAGAATAGTGGGTGCGCGCTAGACCAGCCAGAAGCTGTGGTGATTCCATGTGTCCAATCCCTGCTCCAAATTGCGCAAATCACTTTAGAAGGTGGGCAATGTGACATAAAGAAGGATTTACACGGATAATCCCACTAACTCACAGATTCAGTAATCATTGCCTTAATGTATCTCACTACAAATTGAGAGCTCATCTCTCATTCAAGGGATTCGCTCATTTTACTCTTGATTAGCTATTCTCTCTGTAATAAAAAGCATTCACTCGCTTGTACTATCATTTGTAAGTCAGTCTGCTAATGCGACCTGACCCCTATCATTAATAAAATAACAGTGGACGTAGGACGTGCTTCCTTAGCATCCGAACCACTTTAAAAACGCTTTTCTCATTGTATTTACTCTCTTTTCCTTGCATTCACGTGTGTCTTCTGAGCCAGCTTAGCATTTCACACATGCGTTTCATTGGTGTAAAAATCACGCATCAACAGTTTGACGCTAGAAGGAAGGGCCTGATTTAGTGTTCATCCTTCATCAGGAGAATCTCTAACTTATTGGTCCTACAACAACAAATGGCCCTCCAACCTGAACCTGAGCAAACCAACCAAGGTGTTGAGGGAATCCCCCAGGTCCAGGGGGATACCTCTTCCAAAATACCTTCAGTTCTGCAAAATGCTGCAGGGGATATCTCATCAAGTTCACAATTTGACCCTGCCATTAGAAGCTACTTGGAGAGGTTTGACAATACTCTCCAGATGGTCAACCAAAGGTTGGACCGTTTGGACCAAGGCGTGCCACCCAAAGCAGCTGGGGTGGTACAACCGCCAAAAACGCATGCAGGTCGAGCGAAAGCGTTGCAAAGGGAAATAGCCCGTGCCGCAAGCACTGTAGCACGTAAGCAAAAGGGTGAGCAAGTGGCAAAAAAAGGGCTACGGGCTGTAAAGGGCCAGCGAACTCCGATCGCGTCCCAAGTAGAATACCAGTCTCATTGAGACTTGGTGAAAAGACGCAGCTTGAGCTGTCCTATGCCACGTCGCATGTACACCCCAATGAAAGTGCTGGGCGGGGCGATTCTTATCACCGCCAGCAAAACGATCTTGATCGTCACAGTGCAAGAGGGTCCCACACTTCGCGGGGCCGTTCTTACCACCGCAAAGGTCGTGAAAATACTCTGCACCATCCAGATCGTCATCGTGCTAGAGGGTCCCACACTTCGCGGGTCAGTTCTTACTATCGCGAAGGTCGTGAAAATACCTAACACCATTCATCGCCATCACATGGCTCTAGGTAGCGTGTGTCGAGAGTGGCCGGAACCGCCAGTCGAGGCGAAGAGGAACCCGATCTTCGGGTTTTCCTCAACCATAATCGCAAGGATCGAACTCGCATGGGTGAAAGCAATCCCCAAGTAGCTCCATTGCCACAAGTTGAGGAGCTGCAGCGAGCTCTAGACAGACTAAGAGCTCAACAAAATGAGCAAGGGCAAGTCGCGTCTATGTCCCCCTTCTCTCCCGAAGTGCTAGCTGCTCCACTCCCACCAGGATTTAAGATGCCCGACAGGCGGGCGTTTGATGGAAATTCTGATCCGCAGATCATTTATATGAGTTCAACGACCCGATGGAGCTTCACCAGGTCTCAGATCTAGCAAATGCCGTTGTTTCACAGTGACTTTGACCTCTCATGCCAAATGGTGGTTCAGGTCGCTCCCAGCGGGATCGATCAATTTGTGGCCTCAGATGAGCGCGACGTTCCTAAAGCATTTTCAAGCAAATCGAAAGTTCTCGATGCCTTTGAGCTATCTTAGCAATATAAGGCAAGAAATGGATGAATCCCTCCAGTCCTACATCGACCGTTTTCACAGAGAACTCAACAAGGTGGCTCATTCTCCCGAAGAGTCTGTTCGGACTTTCATCATAGCGGGAGTTCGTTCACAAATTGACCTGTGGAAAGAATTACAGGCTGAGGACGATGTTTCCTTTACCGGATTCTATAACCTTGCGGAGAAGTACCTCCGGATAGAAAATTCATTGGCGACGCTCCGCCATCGCGACCCCGACACTTCAGGCAGTATGTCTGGTCGAGGGGAAAGTAGAAGAGCTGATCGCAGAAGGGCCACTAACAATCATCGAAAAGAAAAGAAACCTCGCTACGAGCCCAAAAATCCTTATGCTCCTGTCCCTTGTCGCGATCGCGATAGAGACCAATATACGCCTCTGAATGCATCTGTGTTGGCTATTCTTGATAAATCCGAAGAAGTCAGCCTGCTCGGAGAGCCCGAGCCCATGAAAACTCCCGCGACAGGCAGAAATAATAAAAAGTACTATCGCTTCCATCGGGACAATGGGCATCACACAGATGAGTGTCGAGCTCTCAAGCAGGCAATCGAAGAGCTCATTCAGAAGGGGCATTTCAAGGAGTATATTGACGACTCTGCTCCTGTGCAAGGGAAATAGGGAAAGAAGCGTCGTGATCGCAAAGGATATAGCCGTGTCACATGATTTTCGGAGGGCCGCACCTCGCGGGGAACCGCGAGGTGCCCAGGAAAGATGCCACCTCGAGGCATGAGCTGCTAAGTTTTATGGACACGTACTCATGATATAATCAAATTTTGATGTTCGTTTGAACGACCTCATCATCCTAAGGCTGGTCGGCTAGGGATCTTCAGACGGCCGTTGCTTTATCATCCTGCCGCGCCATGGACCTGAGAGTTTCCTGCCAATCCTCCGGGAGGTCGGACATATCAATACGCGGGTTCTTCGGCTGCAAGGCATAGATGGACTCGATCGCCCATTCGACGGCTTTCTTCTCGACCTCTGTTGCCTGATTTTGCATCTCTTCGGTCAGGGAAGCAACTTTTCCCTGACTTGCCTGAAGTTCAGCCTCGAGAGCTTGCCTTTGCTTCTCGGAGGCATCCCTCTCTTGTTCTGCTGGCAAGGCCCGCAGAGAGGTCACTTTGAGCTCTTGGTCCTTCTCTCTGACCTCCTTGGAAAGTCTAGCTATGGTCCTTTGAAGCTCCTTTATTTCCTCCCCATGCTTCTTGAGCTCCGCTTTTTGGAAGTCCACCATGTGAAGAGCCGCGTCTCTTTCGTTCAGGTACCGGTTCACCGACTCAGAGGACATGTTTCTTTCTGTTTCGACGGCTTCCAAGCTCTGCTTAAGCTTTGTGTTCTCTTCCTTTAGTGCGACCTCCCCCTTTGCAACTCCCAGCCGAACCTTCTCCAGGGACATTCACAAGGAAAGTAGGGCCTGCGAACAAGGAAAGATAAAGTTAGCTTATCAAAAAGAGCTAAGGGAAGTCCTCGTCGAGGTTAATTCGTTCACCTTGCTTAAGTGTTGGACCAATGTGGACATTAGATCCACGTCGTTGGAACCTGCGAATTGCTCAAATGATTCCAAGAGTCCGCACTTTAGTAAAGTGCAGATTATCGGCTGCAGGTACTCCGAAAGATTCCCCAGCGAGTCTAGCATTGGAGTTTCCTTCTTCACGCCTTCAGTAGGGGTCGTGTCGCCCATCGGTTCCTTACCTGACCTCCTCCAGACGTCCGACCGCGACTTCTCGGGTTGATTGACCTCAGATTCGGTCTCTGACTCTTCGACCTGAATCTGCCTTCTCTTCTTTGCTCGCTGAGCCGTTGTCTTTAGCCTCGAGCGAACAGCCAATGGCTGAAGGGCCTTCGTGAATCGGATTGGTGCATCCTCCGAAGGTTGTTGCTGAGTTCCAGCAGGTCGTACCGGGGGGCCCTATGTGGCACCTTCAGCCGGGGGATCGGCAGGAGCCCCATCTTTCACCTTGGCGGTCTTCGACTATGGGAAATTGAATTGCCTTCGTCGCATCAGCTCTGACACCTTTGGAGGCATGGTCGCTGCATACAGGCATCGTTAACAAAAGCATTTCATTTCACGACCAGAAAAGAACCAGTTAGCAAGACTTACTAAATGGGGGCTCTAAAGACGCGTTTGCGTTGAAGAAACCGTATTTCCGCAGATTCGCGGTCGTCACGAGCTTCTTCGCGTCGCGCTTGTCTTCGGGCAAGAAGCCGAAAGATACGATCCTATCCGAATCAAAAAGCAGTCCTAGGTCGGTCGTCTTGTTAACTGCTAGAGAAGAAACAAGTCATTAGAAAGAAAAATGCATTCCGAATTTAATGAGTTCGCCAAGAGAAAAGAGTCTACTCGGGTCCTGAAAGCGGCAATAGCTGTCATAATGAAAGAAGAAAAACTTCTTTTCGTACGCCCCCGCGTTGCTAGGGCAGCTATGTATCCCCTCGGCTATAGTAGGTCGTCTGGACAAGTAATAAGAATCCTTGTCCTTGCTCTTTTTCAAGACATACAAGCGGCGAGCTCTGTCACGGTTAGCTCACCTAGCTTGTTGTCATGACACGCGATGTACATGGCAACAACAATAACATACGCGTTTGGAGTGAGCTGCATTGGCGCTATTCCGAAGTGATCCAAGATCGACCTGACAAAAGGGTGGAAGGAGATCAATCCCCCACCCTTGATGATCTCCTCAGAGATCGCGGCCATCCCACTTGATGGGTATCGCGATGAGTGTGCCACATCACGGAAAACTTCCACCTCGATACTGTATTGTTTTATTACCCTCTCGAGCTCTTCCCCGATAAGTACCGAGTAGACCTCAGGAGTGACACTCGGAGCACCCTACGAAGACGAACCGGTTCCTTCCTCGGATCTAGTTGTTGAGGGGTCCATTCTACTGGTCTGCAAAAGTGACAAGCAAGGGGGTTATTTAGCCATCGTACGCTACTCCGTACGATGACATGGAAGGAAAAACTCCCTAAAACCTAGAGAAAACCCTAGCAGAATGATTCGAGCCGCCATTCATGGCTCGAACTTGACATGAGCGTCTCGTCCCCGATGAGTTACCGGAAGACTAATGCCATCTACCAACCACGGGAATAAGAAAACAAAAACAGAGAAAGATTCTTACCTCTCTGAGTACGAAGATGGCTTCTGCTTCAAATATCGGAAAAACGCTGGTTTGGAAGGCAAAGGTTCCAAGCTTGCGAAAATCTCTTGCTCTCTGTGAAAAGGACGAGTGTGATGACATTGTCTGAGAAAGATCTGAGTTTTTATAGCGCATGAACCGACATTTGTTTTTTCGGAATCAAAACAAACTTTGGGCGGCAAAAATTTCTCACCGTTGATCACGGCCATGTGTTGCAGATCATTGAGGAAGAGTGAGCATCATGATTACAGAAAATCAAACCGTCATCGTTTTTTTTTTTGAAAAACTCAAGCGACGACACTCTCTTTCCCTCAGCATTAATTGTGCCCCAAGTTGCATTTAATGCACTGATAAGGGTTGTCGTTTCAGCATGTCACACATGTAATGTTCTGATAAAGTGGTACCGTGTGAGCATATAACGCATTCAATGTACCTGGCTGACACTTATCACGCACAGGACATCTGTCAATGCAGAGACTGCTTCATTAAATGCATCCATACCTAAAGTACAACAGGCGAAGTCAGGTCGCTCACCCGTCTTTAATAAGCAATGACCATGCGAGGTCGTGTTTGCAAAAAGTGCTACCCCGACCTATCTTCAATCAGGTCGGAATCACCAGAATTTCCAGAAATCATCAATTGCGGCATGACTTAATAGTTTCCAAGGTTCGATTCTCAAACCTTAAAAACTAGGGGACTTCTGTTATGCTTGAAAAATATAGGGCTGACGTAAGGCCCAGTCAGCGTGCAAAAGTCAGAACATGGGTACACCCGTAGCTTGCTTTTGTCAGAATAGTAGGTGCGCACCAGACCAGCCAGAAGCTGTGGTGATTCCACGTGTCCAATCCCTGCTCCAAATCGCGCAAATCACTCTAGAAGGTGGGCAATGTGACATAAATAAAGATTTGCACGGATAATCCCACCAACTCACAGATTCAGTAATCATTGCCTCAATGTATCTCACTATAAATTGAGAGCTCATCTCTCATTCAAGGGATTCGCTCATTTTACTCTTGATTGGCTATTCTCTCTATAATAAAAAGCATTCACTCGCTTGTACTATCATTTGTAAGTCAGTCCGCTAATGCGACTTGACCCCTATCATTAATAAAATAACAGTGGACGTAGGACTTGCTTCCTTAGCATCCGAACCACTTTAAAAACGTTTTTCTCATTGTATTTACTCTCTTTTCCTTGCATTCATGTGTGTCTTTTGAGCCAGCTCAGCATTTTACATGTGCGTTTCGTTGGTGTAAAAATCATGCATCAACAGAATCCATCCTCAATGGAGTTATTTTCTTGTAATGCGTTGATGACTCGCTTGTGATTACAATCTGTGTTAACAAATGTGACTTTGAAGCCATGCTTAACTAAGCATTGTGAAAGCTCCAGTAGGGGAATTACATGGCCTTGTGCTGGAAAAGGTATGATCAGAACATGTGGACGATTCATTTTAGTTTTCTGTTTTGTATGTTTTCTGAACAATACAAACAATGGCTTTGTATATATCATGTTAATAACTAGTTTAATTAATTGATGTTTTCGCTGTCATCTTTTGCACCTAATGATGTTCATTATGAGCTTCCAGTACTACTTTGTCTCTCATTGAGAAGTTTACCAAAATTTTAAACAGAATAAAACAAAACAGAGTTTCAATAAATAGTATGGACGAACAATTTCTGGGCAGGTCAGGAACTCAAGGCTTCTTAAAGTGTGTCTTTTGTCTGATTACTAAAATAAAAATTTATTTGGTTTAAATATTTACAAATATTTTGTGTTGAGATTTAGGAGAAGGATAGCGTCTTGGTTGGTTAAAGGGTCACATTGCTTCAAATTATAATATATTTTATGTATGCCACGCTGTGTGGTCGTGAGCTTCATTCTTTGTTCTTTATGTTAAAAATTTCAGGAACGGTTAATGTGTTCATGATTCGTCTGCGTTTGCACTCACTTTTAACAAATGTGACTTTGAAGCCATATATCCTTAGCTAAGCATTGTGAAAACTTTAGTACATGATAGATATCTCTTGTTAGAGTTGTCGACTACTTCAGTATTAATGGATAAAGCAGATGCATTCGAGGGTCGTGGGGTTAGTGCTGTAGCGCTCTTGGGCCCGTAGGTGATTTGGGCATTTTCCATGAAAAATCACTTAAGGATTTCTTTAAGTTACTAATCATTATTGAGTTTAGACTTAGGAATAATAATCCTTATAAAACTAGGTGTAATATATAAATATATTTTTCACTTGTTATGAGTATAATTGTAATTATAAGACAATTCATTCATTGTAAACGAGAGAGGTGAGGAAGTATTATAATAATATTGACTTAGCTAAACGTAGCCTATATTGAGTGAATCAGGATAAATCGTACGTATTATTTTCTCTCTTTACTGTCTATGATTTGTTTTCCGGTTTATTTTATTCTCATATGACTCTCCATTTCGTTCAACCCTGTGGTGCATAAGGAATTACCAGCGCATATGGATTGCTTATTTATATCTGTTGAACTTAGTCCTCTCTTCAGATTCAGCCGTTACAACTTACAAAACATTTATTCAAGAATTTCATCTAAGTGGGGTGGGGCCAATGTTTAATTTGCTCTTTCCTCTTGCAGCTGACTGATGAATCAATTATTCTGAAACCTAAAGTGGGTTAGTGACCTGTTTGGCGGGTGGTTTGGGCTGTAGTTTTGTCTTCTGCAGTATTCTTCCAGACTCCAGTTCCCAGATCAAGAAAAGGAAATGAGAGCAAAAAACATAAGAAGTTGAAAATTTAGAATTACTCAATCATACAGATTATTTTGGAAAAGCAAAAGTCACAACGAATTAATCTTGAAATATTAATTCTAACAAGCATGGCCTGGTTCCGGTGACCTTATCCATTCAATGAACTTCTTGAAAGTCTTGTCAGAATGGCCGCCGTCTTTGACACTTTTCAATGCAGTTTCCTTGAGTTCCAAAGCTCTTGCTTTAAAATCTTCAACACCAACCACTTGATCCACCTTAGTCTTAATTTCTTCTCGTGTGATGCTACCACTTTCGTCCCTGGTAAACTTTAATCCCACCTTCCAAATATCACAAATGTAGCTCTCATCAATGAATTGGTCACCGAAGTATGGCCAGCACAAGAAAGGAACCCCATTGCTTACACCTTCCATGGTGGAATTCCAACCACAATGGCTAAAAAAACAGGCAATGGAAGGGTGACTCAAAACCTTCTGTTGTGGCGCCCAACCCACCATTTTGCCACGATTGGCTACCCTGTCTTGAAACCCTTCTGGGTAGGCTTGGTTTGCATCATCAGTAATGTTTGGCCTCACAACCCATAAGAACGGCCTGTTGGTGAGTTCAAGTCCTAGTGCCAGCTCTTGGAATTGGATCTTGTCTATAACTGTGAAGCTGCCAAATGCAACATAAATGACTGAGTTAGGCTGCTGTTGATCTAGCCATTTCAAGCAAGTTGAGTCTTCTTGCCAGAAGTATCCTGCTGAATTTCCTTGTCGGTTGTTTGCCAAAAGAGGTCCTATTGGAAGAATATTTGGAACCAAGTTGAACGCTTCAGGTTCAAAATCTGATGCTGAGTTGCAAATGAGCCAGTCTGCCACTTTCACAGCTTCTGTGAACTTCTCTATGCGGTGAAAGATTTTCTTCTGGAAAGCTAAGCCGCCACCCAAGTTGGCCCAAAGAAAGTTTGTACTGTCGATTTCAGGCATATTGTGAGCGAGCTGAATAATTTGTTTCTTGATTGGAGTTCCTGGAATTAACAGAAAGTGAACATAAAAGAAATAGATAACTGCATGCTTGGCCTACCTTATAGTAGAACACAGTGAATAAATCTAAAGATTTAATTCTCTTCTTCAGTTTATTAATTATTGTAAGCGCTGGTTTTCTTAACGGAGGTTGTAAGTTGGATCCCTTTTAGAGCAAAATATAATATTATTAATGTTGTGGGGAAAAGAGCCAAGCACCTTGGGATCAAGTTACCGTTTTCAGGCGTTAACCAGTAATATAATACTAATAGTATTCCTTAATTTGTGTGTCATTAAGTTCCTTAAACTTGCAACAAAATTAAGAACAGAAACGAGTGAGAGTGTGTTACCATCACTGTCAATGATTCCTTCATCAATCATCTTCGGAACATTGTAAAGCAAGGCCAGACTTGCAGCTGCTAAAGACCAAAATGCTGCCTTCTTAATTTTCATCTTCTCTGCAACTCTAATGGCAAATTCAACATTACCGTCCGCAATCACACAAACAATCTTTTCTTCTTCCACTCTGTTGATCTCTTCTATGAGCTTCTCCAGTTCCCCAGGCATCACCTCCGGCATTGTTTCAGATAACCTTGCGAAATCATTTCTATCTTCCCACGGTTCCATTCCATCCGGAATTGATACCAGATGGATTTCATCCCCAGTAAAATTTTCTTGTAAAGCGTTGATGACTCGGTTGTGAGTGTGATCTGTGTTGACAAATGTGACTCTGAAGCCATGTTTAACTAAGCATTGTGAAAGCTCCAGTAAAGGAATTACATGGCCTTGTGCAGGATATGGTATCGCCAGAATATGTGGACGACTCATTTTTATTTTCTTTTTCGTTCTTGAATTATGAACAAACTTTGGCTTCGCATATTTGTATCGTGTTAATAACCAGTTTTATAAGGATAAGGGATGGGCTAGCAGCTTGTCTCTTACTGACTTGCGTATGTGATTTTGTTACCCCCTGATTATTCCTGTTAGGGGGCTGAGAGAGTTGGAGAAGTAAAACATGACTTTGTAGAGGTGGCTGCTGAATTGTCAAGATATTTGTATTTACTTTTATTGACTCAGCAAGCAAAAGCATTATAGAGTTTGACTGGTTAACCAGAAAAATCCCATAGTCTCTCATTTTAATCTCTGAGTCAAGTGTGAGCCAAGACTCGAGAGGAAAGGAGATAAGAGAGAGGGGAAGGAAAAAAAAGGAGAAAGAGGGAAGAAAAGTAAAAGTGGAGGAAAACCGTTTGGCCGAGAGGAGTAAAAATTAATATAGATTAAATCAAATCCAAGATTTTAGAGTATTTTGTGATGTCTCCCGAAATCTAGTGTTTAAATTATGTTTGTGTTCTTTCTCCTAGTGACGTTTTGACTTGCTAGATTTGAAGCCTAGGTTTTTAACAAGTTAATTAGAATTTAAGAAAAATACTTTATTTTATTTAGTCTTAGTTGTTAGATTGGACCTGGAATATATAGGAGCTCATAGCCCATAACGGCAACGGGTTGCTTCAGGCCTGAAAATCACTTAGTTTATTTTATTTAAGCATTATTTTTCCATTTAACCCTTTTTTTTTTTTTAATTTAAGAATTTTTTTTTACTAATTTCTGCATGTTAAATTAGTAATAATCATGTCAGAAGAATTGGGTCAGAATTAAGAAATAGAGTATGTTGCTGTGACAAAAATTAGTAAGAAGCTGATATGGTTACCGAAATTCCTAGAAGATTTGAGTCAAAATTATGAGAGGAGCGTTTTGGGTTGTGATGGTCAAAGTGTCATTCATTTAGCAAAGAACCTAGTCTATCTCCTAGAGAAAACATATACAGGTTCGATCAATACCATTTCATACGCTGAACTTTACATATTAATTTTTTTTTTTTAAATTTATATTATTTGCCTCTATCATCTTGCTCTAATAGCTTTTTGTTTAGTTGTTTACATGGTGTAGTACCTGAAATTTTCCAAAGGCTAAATAATAAATTTCCTATTTAATAATACTTGCCAACCAAGTAAGTAATATTAGAGATATTTACTAATATAGAAGTAAAATCAAAGTGATTTGTGTGGTTTTTATTGAAATATTATAAAACTTAATATGCTCATAGGTTTTTAAATTCATATAGGGATACCATGGGTTATTATATGTGAGTAATTTTGATTCTACTCGAGAGAGGGTTTTGAATAGGTTCGAGTATTTTGCCATCAACATTAGATGATAAATGTTTAGTACCATGTTTTTAGGATTTATATTGAATTGGTTAGGTGAAGTTGAATGCCTTAGCAATAACATTTCTATTCATTGGTGATTCGATCTTGTTTATTGCATTCTTTAATTAATTTTACCTTTTAACTCAGAATTCATAATATTTCAATTTTCGTTGTTTTCAAATAACTCAAAACTAGGACAATTTGTGTATTTAATGGATAAGTCAATCTTCGTACGAACGATACTCCGCTTATTTAATTATATTACTAGAGCGATTAGTACACCCTGCATGATAGATAGAGATGGCAAAATTCCAGGCTGGGCCATCTACTTTGGATCTAGAACTCTAACTGAGGTCCGATCTGGACACAACCCCAAGCTAGGCCAACTCTGGGCCGGGCTTTTTCTCCATTCCTTTCGACAGAGATGCAAGACAAACGATTGACACAATTCAGAGGGAGAGACATCAACAGCGATAAGAGCCACAGGGTGACCCAGGGTTACAGACCAACTACTGTATTACATGAGCTTATTCCTCGCAATGCAAAATACTATAACAAATTAAAAAAAAAAAAAAAAAAAAGACTTCGATTCTTCGAATGTATCATAAAAGAGAAATACAGGATGAAATTAAAACCTTGGTTTCGATGGCAGAGATTTCCAAGTTGTTATTATATGTTTATTTTCCTTAACAATGATCCATCATCACTTGTGGTGAGTTCCTATGCCTTGATCCATTCAATGAAATTGTTGAAACACTTGTTCGATTGACCACCTTCTTTAACAGTTTCTATGGCAGTTTCCTTGAGTGCCAAAGCTCTTCCTTTAAATTTTTCATCACCAACCACTTGATCTATCTTACCTTTAATTTCTTCTCGTGTAATGATTCCACTTTCGTCTCTTTTAAACCGCAATCCTACCTTCCAAACATCACAAATGTAGCTCTCATCGATGAACTGGTCAGCAAAGTATGGCCAACATAAGAAAGGAAGCCCATTGCTTAAACCTTCCATGGTTGAATTCCAACCGCAATGGCTAAAGAAGCAGGCAATGGAAGGGTGACTCAAAACCTTCTGTTGCGGAGCCCAACCCACCATTTTCCCACGGTTGGCTACCCTTTCTTCAAACCCATCTGGGAAGGCTTCATTGGCACCATCAGTAATGTCTGGCCTAACAACCCACAAGAACGGCTTGTTGGCGAGTTCAAGTCCTAGTGCCAGCTCCTGGAATTGAATCTTGTCTATAACTGTGAAGCTGCCAAATGCAACATAAATGACTGATTTGGGCTGCTGTTGATCAAGCCATTCCAAGCAAGCTGAGTCTTCTTGCCAGAAGTATCCTGTTGAATTTCCTTGTCGATTGCTCGCCAAAAGAGGTCCTATTGGAAGCATATTTGGAACCGAGTTGAACGCTCCAGGTTCAAAGTCATAGGTTGAGTTGCCAATAAGGGTATCTGCCACTTTCACAGCTTCTGTGTTCTTGCTTATATAGTCAAAGAGTATCTTTTGGGCTAAGCCGCCACCAATGTTTGCCCAAATAAAGTTTGTACTGTCGATTTCAGGCGTGTTGGGTGCAAACTGAATCATTTGTTTCTTGAACGGAGTCCCTGGAAACAAATTGTACACAACAAAACAGTGATTCAGTGACTTTTAACTTGCAGAAAGTTTACAGAGGAAGATAGAAAAGAGTAAAAACAAGTGAGAGGGTGCTACCATTACTGTCAATGATTCCATCATCAATCATCTTTGGAATATTGTAAAAGAAGGCCAGAGTAGCGACTGCTGCAGGCCAAAAGGCAGCCTTCTTAATTTTCATCTTCTCTGCAACTTCAAGAGCAAATCCAATATTCCCATCAGCAATCACACAAACAAGCTTATCTTCTTCCACTCTGTAGATCTCTTCAATAAGCTCCTCCAGCTTCCCCGGCATCACCTTCGGCATTGCTGCACATAGCTTCCCTAAATCATTTCTATCCTCCCCGGGTTCCATTCCATCTGGAATCGACACCAGACGGATTCCATCCCCAATAGAATTTTCCGGTAATGCGTTGATGACCCGGTTGTGAGTATGATCTGTGTTGACAAACGTGACTCTGAAGCCATGCTTAACTAAGCATAACGAAAGCTCCAGTAAAGGAATTACATGGCCTTGTGCAGGAAAAGGAATAGCCAGAATATGTGGAGAACTCATTTTAGTTTTCAGTTTCCTGTATGTTCCTATGAACATAATTTGCTTTGTTTTATAATGATCAGGGTGACTTCCCAGGAGATCTAATTCGTATATTTGCTTTGGTTTCCTGCTTGTCGCTTATCGACTCGTTGGTGTAGATTTGTCATTTTATTATTATTTATCTATTATGATCTGGCAGGCCCTGGAACTTCTCATCATCTCGGGGTTTTTCTTAATTTCTATACTTTAATCTAATAGTCAATTTTCTCTCCTCGATTTCATAAAATCATCGTTTATCTTATTTAACTATAACAAGTAAGCCAGTGATTGAGTTAAATGGCTAAAAAAGTCTTCGATGTTTTTGGTTTCTTGGAACTTTTTATTTTAGTTTCCTTGTTCTAATTATAATATCTAGTGTTGAGATTCACGAGAAGGATAACATCTTGGTTGGTCATAGTGTCGCATTGCCTCAAATTAACACATATTTTGGGCATCCCGCCCAGTGAGGTTATGATTTGTGCTTTATGGCTGGCCCAATTTTCCTTAGCCAAGCATTAGAATTAAAGCTCAGAACTACAGATTTCAATCTGTTCAACTTGTCTCTCAAGTTTAACTGTTATGAAATAATATTTTTTAAAAGTGATAGTCTCTGGTATCGCAATATTATTGTTGATTCAATACCAAAAGTTAATGCATGTGGCAACTATATATCAATCAAAATCAATCTAAAGATAAACGAGAAAGGAAAAAAGATAGGAAAAAGAAAAAAGAAAAAAACCTCGAGATAAGTTCAATAGATAGTTGCAGGAATAATGTAGTTTGAAGTGGTATTCTAGATTTTTGAATACATCTCATTGCGAGTAGCCAGTGCATGCATTTGACTGAAATTCTCAGGTCTCATATGCTATCACATACTGCTATATAGACTCGTCGTTACTGGCCTGTTTGGCTGTAATTTTGGTCTTTGTAACGCTCAGTTTCAAACTTTCAGTTGCCTGGGAAACAGGTCAGCGTGAATATCATTAGCCTTAATTAATCCATGATTATTTTTTAATGAACCTTGATTTCAAGCTTTGAAATTAAATTCTTTCCACAGCAGACGTAAGTTTAGCACAGAGAGAACCTACCAACATATTACACGACAACAAGAAGTTTGTTTGTTCGAGGAGAAAATCTAGACTACCACGAGAGTTCTTTTACTTGAACGAATCTTCAAATGAATGATCCAGTAATATCAAGGTATCTTATTCCATTTCTTGGGTCCTTATCCAGTCAATGAACTTCTTGAAATTCTTGTCAGATAAACCCCCTTCTTTGACACTTTTCAATGCAGTTTCTTTGAGTTCCGAAGCTCTGGATTTGAAATTTTCATTACGAAGCACTTGATCCACCTTGCTCTTAATTTCTTCTCGTGTGATGATCTTACCTTCTTCTCTGTTAAATTTCAATCCCACCTTCCAAATATCACAAATGTAGCTCTCATTAATGAA